GTGCCCCCGGTAAGAAGGGGCCGTGACATTCGAGAGATAGAGAGAAAGAATATACACTCACATGGCCAAGGGTTCCGAATCCATGCATAACCGAGTCCGATCGGTAAAGAAATGAGTAAAAGTCACGTAGAGTGGTAGCGCCCAGCCGTGCCTCCGGTCAGATGAGGCCGTGACATTCAAATGAGTAAGAATGAGAAAACAGAGCAAACATGAGAAAGAATAAAGAGAGACAATGAGTAGGGTTACGAAGAGTGGGATGAGTGCCTAGCCGTGCCTCCGGTAAGATGAGGTCGTGACCTACAACAGAAAGTTAACAGAAAAGAGTTATGAGAAAGAGAGACAGAAAGAGAATCAGTAGAAGTCACATAGAGCGGGACAAGTCTCGGCCGTGCCTCCGGTAAGATGGGGCTGTGACATTCAAAGAGCGAGTTAGTAGAAATGAATTATAAGAAATGAGAATGAGATAATAAAGAGAATGAGAAAGAATGAGAAAGCTTGAGAAAGCTTGAGAAAGAATGAGATAGAAAGAGAGAGAGTATGAGAAAGAATGAGAGAGTTTGAGTTAGTAAGAATAGAGAGTAGAAGAAAGAAACATGCAGTTCTTTTGCATTAATTGCATGTACATCTCATACATGCATGCACCATGAGTTCTTCCATGGTTAGTGAGAGTATAATGAGAACAAGAGAGAGAACCATGATTTTCCTTCATGGTGAATATGATGAGAATAAGAGAGAACCATGAGTTTCCTTCATGGTGAGTAAGAATAAGAAAAGGAGAAAAGAGAATGAGAATAGAGAGAAAGAAAGAATAAAAAAAGAGCAGAACAGAGTTAAAGGAGAATAAAAGTATTAGCAAGAAAGAGAAAAACAGTGAGAATTAGAAATAGAAGAACGGTAGAGTAAGGAAAGAACCAAAGAGTGAGTTGTGGGGACAGGTAGTAGAGGATTTACTTACTGAGCATTGTTGTGCTCACCCCACTGTTCTTCCTTGTTTTGCAGGAATTATGAGCAGCGGTCAGATGGACGTCGAGAAGCAGAGAGTATTGGCACTACTGTCCACCAGTTATGATATTTTGTATTAAGGAGAAAGTTTTTAATACATAGTATTTTGTATATGTAAAGAATTATATTTTATGAGTAAAGAAAAGTTTGAGCCCACTATCTTCCATACGCTATGTATATCTATAATTTGCATAGTATGCATTATATGAATAGTAGTAGAAAGCAGGTGTTACAGCACAGCACTTTCCTAACAAGTTTAGCATTATGATATGGTCTTCCTAAGGCAAAACACTCATAGAAATATTGCAAACTCTACCATAAAAGTCAGTTATAGTCTCATCTTCATCCATGTTCATATTTTCAAAATCAATGACAAGTCTTCTAAGCCTATTTCCTTTAACAGCACTAGTGCCCTCATTCTTGACTTGAAGCTTATCCCAAGCATCTTTAGCAAGCTCACAATTAGCTATGATTTTCATTTGGTTCACATTAACAACATTAAAAAGGGCATGAATGGCTTTAGAGTTATAGTTTGCAAGAGTTAACTCATCAGTAGTCCAACTAGCAACGAGTTTTGGTCTAGACACTTCATTTTCAACAATAACCGGGGTTGTTCAACCATTCACAACTGTGGACCAGACTCTTTCATCTATAGACTTAATAAAAGCACACATCCTAGGTCTTCATGTATAATAGTTAGTTCCTTCTAACAGAGGTGGTCTATGAGCAGATCCTCCTTCAATGAAGAAACTCATGATGAAAAACAAACAGAAAAATGCTAACACAGCAAACAGCAGTGCACACACAGAACACGCAGCAGATCTAAAATAAACACGCAACACGGATTAGATTTCTTCCAACTACCAGACCTTTTAGATGCGAACAAAATCAACCAAATTGGGTAAGGATCAACTGAAGCAACTTATCATGACACACTCTGATACCAGTTGTTAGGGAAAGAGTTGTTGGTTAACTCACTTTAGTGTATGGTTACCCATTTTAAGTACAATGGAAATATTACCAAGTAGTTTAAGACATTTCCAATTTAACCACATCAAACACAAGTGCAAAAAATAAATAACACAACCATATACATGGTTTAGCTAAATCTACTTTTAGCCTACATCCATGGGATCTTGTCCAGATCGAAGCAATCCACTAAGTTAAAAACACATTACAAGATATAGTTTAAAGTTGATCAAAGATACAGTAAAAAGGGAAGATAAGATAATATATGGTGTACAGTTTCTTGCTCAACACATTAGTGTCACATCAACCAACAAGGAGTTGACCCATGTTTGTCCAAATAAGGGAAGTATTCCTTCTTTTGGTTTGGACCACAAAGCAAATCGGGAAAAGAAACTTTATTCCTAGGACCACTTAAGGGTACTATGACACATGTAAAAAGGTCTTAAAAAGTAAGAAACAAAGATAAACAATATCTTTTTCACGTTATTAGACATGCAACTCGTGTTGGGTTGCAAATATTTGAAGCGAGAGTGTAAGCACAAACTGTTGGGCACACACACTCGAAACGAAACAAGACAAGACACAAGTCTGGCAACCAATGTGCACACAGATCTGATGTGCACACACACAACAAAGAAAACAAGCCAAATCATAAGATTGGCAACCAATGTGCACATAACCCATAAGTTTGACAAATATGAATATTCCACATAATTTAAACTATATTAGTCACTATGGATTTTAGAAATCAGCACCTAATAAATGAAGAAGAGAAAAAAAAAAATTAAAGAGGATCTTGTTGGTTGTTATCCTGTCATACTTATTATGTATTTGTAACTGTTTTGTGTAAAGACTGTTGCCATTGTGAATGTATATATCAATTGAAATTTTTAAGTTGCAAATCAATGAGATTACATCATCTGGTAAGTGTTGGATCAGACTATAGATGAGCTTATTCTAATTTCTAAACCATTTGTATGTTAATCCAATATCGTATTGCTTTACTTTGAAACCAAAGATTACTTGACTTGGAGAAATGATTTTTGGGTCTGGTAAAGTCTAATAAGAATAATATAGTTTTGATTTACAATCTCAATGGATTTGGGTCGGATCTATTTTTATCCATACCATGGCCAGCCCATCAACATCCCAACTCACAAATGTTACTTGAAAATTTTCCACTATGATTAAGCAGATGCTGTACAAGGTTGCTTTCCAATTTTTAACCAATTTAATTAACATATTAATTATAATCCTCAATAATTAATATCTCAATAAGTTGAAGATTTTTTTTAACTTTCTATACTTTACAAGTCGAAAGTTTTATCACTTTACCAAGTTGATTAAACTTGTGCGGAATGGGTTAAACATGTTCATTTGTTCTTATGGGTTGGATTATTATCATCAACATAAACTAAATATCCATGGCATAATTTAAAGCACACAAATCATTTTTAAATGGTTCAGCAACTTGCCTAGATCTATAGGACCAAGTCCAAACGAAGCCAATCCACTATGATAAACATTTATAGGACAATGACAAAGCCAAAGTTAAGCATTAGTTGTAAAACACTCCCTATTATGACAACACTTCAAACTTCACCCTTTGGTTGAACTTCGTACTACCACAACTAGCTTCTTACGCAAGATTTAGTATTATATATAATCCATAAACTAGATTAGTCAAAATGGATTTTAGAAATCAGCATCTAATAAATGAAGAAGAGAAAAAAAAATAATTAAAGAGGATCTTGTTTGATGTTTTCCTGTCATACTTATTATGTGTAAACAATATATATATATTGAAATTTTTAAGTTGCGAATCAATGAGATTACATCATCTAGTGTTGGATTAGACTATAGATGAGCTTATTCTGATTCCTAAACCATTTGTATGTTAATCCAATATCCTACTGCTTTTTTTTATTTTTATTGTTGGATTCATTGTTTTACTTTGAAACCAAAGATTACTTGACCCGGAGAAATGATTTTTGGGTCTGGTAAAGTCTAATAAGAAAAATGTTGAGTATTTTGAGTAGTATTTTTGAAAAAGTTGAGTTGGATTATTATTACGAGAATAAGATTAGAATTTGAAAATGTGTTTGGTAAATTTTTGAAAAACATTTTCTGAAAATATTTAGATTATTTTTAATCCCCTATATTTGTTAATTTAGCTAAACACCCCCTACAATAAAACATTGAAAATTAATATAAACACCTCCACCCACCCATTAAATGCCAGCAGTCGCCACCATCATTGGAGGGTGGCCGAAAGTCGCCAAAATGGCGTACGACCGACTAGATCTAGCCGGTCGTGGACTAATCTGGCCTTTTCTGGCCACGGCCAGAACGGCCATGGATCTAGCCGAAAAAGGCTAGATCTATGGCCAAAGATCTGGTCATTGACAGCCAAATCTGGCCACATGTAGTCGTTGACAACCAGATGTGACAAGATCTAGCCGTCAACGACCAGATCTTTGACCGTAGATCTGGCCTTTTCTGGCCAGATCCACCATGGCTCTGGTCGTAAAAGGCTAGATTGGCGTATGACCGCCACAACCAGCTGGTCGTGTGCCATTCCAATAGATTTCAGTCACCTTTCGACGGTGGTGATCAGCTGCCAAGAATATATGGGTAGGGGGTGTTTTTGTCAATTTATAAATTTTTATTGTTAGGGTGTTTAGTTAAATTAACAAACCTAAGGGATTAAAAAAATCTAAATATTTTGAGTTGAATAGAATATGATTGGATTGGATTTTGAGAATATTGAAACAAATATGTATTTTTGGTAGGAGTGGATGGGATAGGATAGGAAAAAAAAATGAAACAAACACACTAGCACAGCCGTAGTTTGTGATTTTCTATCTCAATGGATTTGGGTCGGGTCTATTTTTACCCATACCATAGCGGGCCCATCAACATCCCCACTCACAAATCTTACTAGAAACTTTTCCACCAGGATGACTTGACCATTAATAATTGGCTCCACAATTAACTAGTTTTCCGTTTTCCCTACAATAATTGACTATCCTGATAAACATAAAAGACGCTACTCAATAGGTATCCTCATTTCAATATCACTTTCTTAATCAGATTTTTCTCTCTTTAATTTCTATAAGCCTTTCCTGAAAATGGCGATTCCAGTGACATCTATTGCCTTCTCTGTTGCTTTTGCTGCCCTTTTAGCATGTCTATGGATGTTGTTGGACTGGGTTTGGTTGAAGCCAAAGAAGCTAGAGAAATTTCTTAGGCAACAAGGTTTCTCCGGCAACCCGTACAAACTTCTTCATGGAGACACAACAGAGATGCTCATGATGAGGAAACAAGCAAAAACACGACCCATCAGCCCCTTCTCACATGATATTGCATCGCGAGTCATTCCATTCCACCATCATATCTGCAGGAACTACGGTATGCCTTTTTCCTCACTTAGAAACTTATAATTCGTCAATGTTTTCTTGTAAATGAAGATGCTAACAAGTCATGAATTGATTTTTGCAAAAGTAAATTTATAGAATATTACTAGCTCCCAGCTAGCATGTTTAACTTATTGCCGGTTTGTGTTTGCTTTGCTAGTCTTTAGTATCTTCCTCTTCAGTCTTCACCAAGTTCATACTTAGGAACATCTATTTTTCTCTTTTTTTTTTTTTTTTTTTTTGGTAGTTTCCTGTAGACTTTTAATTATATCTATTATAAAGTATTATTATGTTGTAGAATGTGTTTGCTTCTTTGGCTAGATATGCTTGTCCTTATCGAATAAATAATTGGATTAAATAAAATTTTAAATAGTTAAAGGTTCAAAAAGATAAAGTTAGCCAACAATTTTTAATTTCTTAAGTAGTGGAATGGTACCACCTTATCTTTCTTATCTTCATTTGTCTGCCATTAACAGCATTAAGAATAAAGTCGTAAACACAAAAGCAAGATCATATAATTGACTAAAACATTTAAGGATAATACTTCATATATAAATTTTTTATTTTTTTTTTAATGATCGAGATTATTAGGTCAGCTTGCACACATCTTAATTAATATGTTAGGTCTATTGAACACCCTACAAGTTCAATATTTCAAGATAAACCACAAATGTGGTAGCTGACCCCAAAGTGGTTAGAACTCAGGTAGTCAATTAATGAATGGAACAAACATTTTTTACTGTCAGGCCAATCTCTTGAGGTTCATATACAAACTCTCATACAAATTGATATTTTAAAGATTACTGGATTATTTTAAATTAAAAATAAATTAAACAATGAAAAGAGATTACATGATAAATATGCAGAGTTGCCGCACAATTTGTAGAGAATAGTTTGTGTATGCAGCATTCCAAAGCTTTAAAACTTATGATCCAATTTTAAATTATATCATTACTGGGAATAGCAATAGTAATTAGTTAGGGTGATCTTAATAGTAAACAAATACAGTAACACAAGTTTTTTCCATCGTTGTGGGGCTCAATTTGTAAAAGTAAATAAGTAAACTTTTGATATGGTTTCCTTTTACATGGCACAATATCATAAGTAACCCTTAAAATAATATTAATAGTATTTGACTATACCAAGTAAAAATTATATGAAAAAAAAAATTCGGAGGTGCTGATTCTCACAACATATCGAGATAATATAAACTAGCATGAATACAAATTAATGACAATGACAAGATTCGAAGTTCCTTTAACAATAAACATAGGATAATGAAAATTCTGACCATTTTAATCCTACAATAGTTACATAGATACTATTTATTGTACGGTAAAGTCTTACAATTTAATGATTGTGAGAAAAAAAAATTACAAATAATTATACCTATATCAACACATCTATTCTGTATATAATGTAGTAATTATTGACACATTATTCATCTATATTTATTGAATATATATTGAGTTCATTTGTCATATGCACTCGTCCGTTCACTTTGTACACACTAGTTTGATAGAAGAGTTTATATATTTAGTATTATATTTTATTTAATGATAACACAGAGTGAATTATAATCAATGCAGGAAAGAATTCATTCATATGGTTGGGTCCAATACCAGATATAAACATTACAGACCCCAAATTGATAAGGGAAATTATGTTAAGGCATGAAATATTTCAAAAACCGAAGCTGAACTCACTTGGCAGGTCGGTATTTAGTGGGATGGGGATCTATGAGGGTGAACAATGGTTCAAAGTCAGAAAGATAGCCAATCCAGCTTTCCATCTCGATAAGTTGAAGGTTTTTCTTCTTTCTATCCTTTTAAATAATGGTTAATCAACCTATTAATTAGGGGGCCAAAAAAATTGCAATAGGACTTCAAATTTAAGAATTACTCTTTTGTTATGTGTCCTATACTGCACATGTTATCTACTCAATCTAATTTCCATGCACTCCACATTTTCCTTCTATTTCTTTTTCTTTATAGGGTATGGTAGCTAAGATGTATCTAAGTTGCAACGACATGATAAGAAAATGGAAGATTTCAATCTCAAACGAAGGGTCGTGTGAGTTAGATGTTTGGCCTGACATTAAGGCTTTAACATCAGATGTGATTTCTCGGACAACATTTGATAGTAGTTATGAAGATGGAAGAAAAATTTTTGAACTTATAAGCCAACAAATCAATCTTTTGAATCAAGTTTTCTACACCTTCCACATCCCAGGATGGAGGTAATCTTAGCTAATTTGGGTTGTTCTATATTGTTTTGTTGAAATTTTTCAAAACATGAATTCGAAAAGTAAGAACAAGAATTGAATCTTATACTTTCAAGATTAAAGAATGCATTTGTATATTATAAAAAAAAAAAAACAATTTAAAAAAACTTCTATCGAGATTTTTTTTTTTTTTCCCTTTTTTTCTCAAAAGAAAAAATTTATGTGTGGTTGCAAATTTAGAAGTACTTCTATAAAATTGAAAAAATATTAAATAACTCAATAGTGACTTTTGTTTTAAAAAAAAAATTAGAAGATGATAAAAGTATCTTAAATTTGTTTTCACAGTTCCTTTACAGAAGTTCATAAACGGCTTTTAAATCCATTTTCTAAAAACGGGTTTTTCAGCAAACTTATTTTTTTTTTTGGTCGTCCATATTTGAGATTGTCAGAGTAAGAAGACCCCGTTTCATTCATGCACTGATGAGATTAATTCTTTAATTTTCAGTTTTGTGCCCACTCAAGCAAATAGAGAATTGAAAAGCAATGACAAAGAAATTCGAGAAATGATAAAAGGCATCATAAAAAAAAGAGAGGGGGTCCTGAAAGTTGGAGAAGCAAGAAACGATGATTTACTGGGTTTATTAGTGGAATCAAATCGCAAAGAAATCCAAGAGCATGGGAACAAAGAAAGTGGAATGAATATGGAAGAGGTGATTGATGAATGCAAACTTTTTTATCTTGCTGGACAGGAGACTACCGCAACTTTGATTGTATGGACAATGATTTTGTTATGTATGCATCCAAAGTGGCAAGAACGTGCAAGAGAAGAGGTTTTCCAAGTTTTCGGGAGCAAAGAACCGCAATTTGATGAGTTAAACCGCTTGAAAGAAGTAACATATTCCATTCTTAAATTTCTATTCTACTTGAGAGAGTTTAATGTTAAGAATCTTCCTTAATTATTATTAGATGTTAATTCACTGGAAAACATGTGTTGCAGGTGAACAAAATTCTTCATGAGGTACTAAGATTATATCCACCACCTTTGTTACTCAGACAAACAATTAAGGAGGCCAAACTGGGGGAAATTACTATACCGCCTGGAGCTTTCATTTCATTACCAATACTTCTAGTTCATCATGATGAAGAATATTGGGGAGCCGACGCAAAGGAGTTCAATCCAGATAGATTTGCCCAAGGAGTTTCAAAGGCATCAAAGAACGATCAAGTTTCATTTTTCCCATTCAGTTGGGGTCCCAGAACATGCATCGGACAAAACTTTGCATTGATGGAAATGAAACTAGCCGTAGCAATGATTTTGCAAAATTTCTCTTTTCAGCTCTCTCCAACTTACGTTCATACCCCGGTTCTTGGTATAACTATACAACCACAGTACGGTGCTCACATGATTTTACAAAAGATTTAGTGTTATAAAGAATAAATAGTTTTGATGTCCATGTATATCGCCTTTTGGAGTTGCTAAGACAGTAAAGTTACGACATTTTGAGTAATGGTTGGATTACTTGTTGATGTGCTTGTATTGGTACATAAATCTTTTTAATTTGGTTTTGGATGTTATAATTATTTGAAAATTTATGTTAATGTTAATCTATACCTGACTATTTTTAAACTATAAAAAAAAATTATTTATAGATAATCATTCTCTAGTCAAGATATTAGTTTCATTATAATCATGTTTAATCACTGTTACATTCATCTTATTAAATTGATATGTTATTTTACAATTTGGTATTTATGCTTGGTCCTAACAAGTTAATATTATGATATCTTGATTAGAGAATTATTTTATTTATAGATTCAGTTTTAAATATTTATGCAATACAAATACTTAAATACTTAATCTATACCTGACAATTATTGGATCAGTTGCCTCCATTTAAAGAGTAAATTTATAATAAAATATAATAATACTCCCTTTGTTTTTTAATAAATGACGTTTTGAAGGTTTAAAATTTTCTTAAATTAACTGTCGTTCTCTTGTCTTGACATCTCCTCTCCCCTCATCTCCTCTACCCTCATATCCTCTCTCTTCTCTCTCTTCCGTCATTGCTTTTTCTCTTTGCATTTCCCACTTTCCTATTGGAAAAATGGCTCATTTAGCAAATACAGGGGGTAGAAGTGAAATGGAAAAAGGTTTAGGGACTTAATGAATAGGCAAAATGTTGTTTGTCCCACATTGCTTGGGAATGAAAAGTGGGAAACTTTAGGGCTATATAAGGATCTAAATCATTGTTATAAGCACTCAAGTTGTAATTCCATTATACTTTTGTTTAGGTTTCTTTCTTTAAGGACCTTTAGTTTGCAAGTTTTGTTGTATCTCCCTTTGTTTTGGGTATTGTTGTATTGCCCAAAAGTTTGTAATATTGTTGGAGGTAGTGGAGTTTTCTTTGCAGAGCCTGAGGACGTAGTTTTTAATACCGAACCTCGTTAATGGTATTCTTTATTTTTGCATTTAATTTTGACAATTATTATGCTTTACTCTTGTTATTATTATATTCAATAGCTAACGTTAGAGTTTATGTTTTCCGTTGCATAATAAGTGGTATCAGAGCCTAGGTTTGGACAGTGAGTAGCTATTGTATGGTTATATGCATGTCTAGGAAAATTCTGTCAAAAAGATGATAAAAATCTAAGGAGACTGGATTAAGTGGGACCATTTGTGACCCCTCCATTGTTTTCTGGGAATTTTTCTGGTGCGTATTTAATCATTTTAGCACTTACTACACCTTGGGCTATTGTTGATTTGTTGGTTAGCTATTGAATATAATAATTTGTGGAGCTTGGTTATTGGGAACTTTGTTTACCAAGCCAATTGAGTAAGGCATAAATGGCATCATTGTCCGAGGATTCATCGTCCGAGGCATCACCATCCCGACACCACCATCCGCACCAGTAAAGATGATAACGGTTTCAAATGCAAAAATTGAGTTGAAAAATTGATGGCAAATAATTTGGCTTGTGGCAGAGTGAGGTGATAGATAGCTTGTATCAAACAAGATCCGATATCGTTCTAAAAGGAGAAAGCAGAGATGTCTATGAGAAAGATGGGTGAGGTTGAATGTAAAAGCGTGTGGGATGATTCGCTCATGTCTTTGTAGAGAGTAGAAATATCCATTCATGAAAGAGACTTCTGCCAATAAGTTATGGAAGGTGCTAGAAAACAAATACATGAAGAGAAGTAATTAGATCGGCTCTTTTGAGAAAAGACTGTTTCATCTTCAGTTGAGACCTGGTACGAATATCAGTAGCCATATTGATACATTTAACAGATTAATTGCTGATTTGTTAAATTTGGATGAAAAATTCAAAGATGAGCATAAGGCTATATTGTTAATTGGATCTTCCAGATGAGTTGGACTACTTAGTATTACACTTCTTCATGGGAAAGAAAATTGTCCTTTGAAGAAGTTTGTTCTGCTTTGTCCAATCATGAAATTCGGAAGAAGGATCAGAAGGAGAATAGAGATGAGTCAGCATAAGCTCTTATAGCAAGAGGGCGGGTCAAAATCAGAGTCGTAAAAAGGAGAGAAGAGGAAGATTCTCGTTCAAAGGAAAACTCAATAGGATCAATGTGCCTTTTGTCGTGAGAATGGGCATTGGAGAAAGATTGTCCGAAGTTGCAAAAGAAAGAGGGCAAATCTACTTCCGATGCATAAGTTGTTGAGGTGAAGAGGATGAGTCAGATTTCTGTCTAGTTAGCCTACCATCCACCTCTGGATCAAATGAGTGGATTAGGATTAGGTAGTACCTATCATATGTGTCCTCACCAGGACTGGTTCTTTAATTTTGAAGAACATGTGAGTTGTTATATGGGCAATGATGATGCTTGTAAACAACTAGGATAGTTCAATTCGGTTGAAGAATCATGATGGCTTGACTAAACTCTGACAGATGTTGTATGTACCGAAGTTGAAAAAGAATCTCATCTCTTGGGAGCCTTGGAATCTAAAGGCTTTACGATGAATATGCGAGATGGAATTCTAAAAGTTTCTTCAGCGCTCTTGTGGTAATGAAAGGCACAAGGAGAAACAACTTGTATTACTATAATGGTGTACAGTTATTGGAACGACAGCAGCCGTCGTACAGGAGGATGCGATTCAGAAATGCTCAAACTGTGGCATGTGTGTGTGGAGACTACTCGGCAACAGGTGGAGTTTGAAACAACAGTTGAACCAGATAGTGTCCACAGACGAAAGTGATTCTGGGTGACTAATGTGGATATTATAGATGAAAATGAGATTTTACCTCAAGAATCTCATCGGCAACAGAATCGATTGCATACAATAGGTTAAGACGAGAAATTCGCAAGCCTGCTCGTTCACTAAGATTGTGGCTTATGCATTCCAACTGTAGGTGATGATATTCCTACTCTTATAAAGAAGTAGTTAGGAGTTCAAATTGTGAATCATGGAAACGACCATGAAGATGAAATGCGATCCCTACATAGAAGGTGATTGGGTGCAAATGGGTGTATGTAAGAAGAAGGGTTTCCAATAGAGAAGATGTCGGCACAAGGTTAAGTTGGTAGTAAAGGGATACGCTCAAATGGAAGGATTTGATTACAGTGAAGTGTTTTCTCCTTGTGGTAAAGTATTCTTCCATTAATTTTGCTAACCTTGTGTGGCACAGTTTGATTTTGAACTATTCAATTGGATGTGAAATCGTGTTTTCACATGATAGTTTGGAAGAGGAAATCTACATGACTCAGCTAGATGATTTAGGGTTGTGGAAGAAAAAATTGGGTTTGCAGATTGAAGAAATCGCTATATAGTTTTGAAGCAGTCACAAGACAGTGGTACAAGCGATTGTAATGTATGATGGGCACGGTACACAAGGCCTGATATTCAAGCGTTGATATGGTGAGCAGGCATATGCATGATCCTGGTAAAGGACATTTGCAAGTTGTGAAATGGTTTCTACAGTATATTTTAGTACTATAGATATTGGTTTAGTTTTTGGTGTGGGTATATTGAGAATGGGAAAATGACTCTCCGAAGATTGGAACAGAAGATAATCCTACAGAAATGTTGACTTCAGTAGTGACAAGGTCAGTTCATTTATTGTTTGAACTTGATCAACATCCTACGAGCTTGACTGTGCCTTTTGGCGCATTGAAGGTGTTGCAAATTGACAGAAGAATATAAAATTTGAAGGTTTGCTAATTCGCCAAGGTGGAGATTGTTGGAAAAATGGCTCATTTAGCAAAAGAATAATACTTGGGTACTAACAGATGGGTACTAATCTGTGTACTAACAAAGTATAGTAGGGTACATAGCCATAGACGGTACTATACTTTAGTTAGTCACAGATTAGTACCCATCCGTCGGATTGTGAAACCCATAGCATCACTCTTAGCAAAATCACAGGGGTAGAAGTGAAATAGAAAAAGGTTTAGGGACTTATATGTAATAGGCCAAATGTTAGTTTGTCCCACATTGCTTGGGAATGAAAGTGGGAAACTTTGGGGCCTATATATAAGGACCTAAATCATTGTTATTAGGCATCCCAAGTTGTAATTCCATTATACTTCTTGTGTTAGGGTTCTTTCTTTAAGGACCTTTAGTTTGCAAGTTTGTTTGTATCTCCCTTGTTTTGGGTATTTGTGTATGCCCAAAGTTGTAATATTGTTTGAGGTAGTGGCGTTTTCTTTGCAGTGTCCGAGGACATAGGTTTTAATACCGAACCTCGTTAATTCCTGGTATTCTTTATTTTGCATTTAATTTTGGCAATTTATTTATGCTTTATTACTTGTTATTATTATATTCAATAGCTATGTTAGAGTTTTGTTTCCGTTTGCAAAACATTTCCCATCAAAAAAAATTTTTTACATTAAAAAATTAGTTTAAAAAGTGTGCACCGACTTAAAATGACTTTTATTTCGGAAGGGAGGGAGTAAATGGTATTTTAGACAAAGGCAAATTCTCATTCTCATAAAAAATTTACTATTTCTTTTTCTAATAATCAGATTTGTTGTTTTCATCAAATTTTTTTTAAATGATCACAATTTGTTTTCATCAATTTTCCTTCCAATGATGAGTTCTGTTTTTTGAGATTAATCATTCATATTCAAGTTTACGTTCTTATCTCAATGCTTATCATGACGAAATAAAATTACCCTTTTTAATCTCATTAAAATAAAATATGAGGACTACTTATTAAAATGCTGGGGGTTAAAAATTATTTTCCAAATTATAAAGAAAATAGAGTAAACAACATGTTCCCACCTCCTAGTTAGTAAATACTAAATACACGTATTTACATACTTTTTAAATGGCTGCTGAATTATTCGCGAATTATTATTGCAAAAAAAAAAAAAAAACTGATTGAAACGACGTCATTTTAGTGTGGGAAGAAGAAATCGGTAGGTAAGAGAAGAGATTGGAAAAGGGGTTTTAGATTGGATTAATGATATTAAAATAATTTAAAATTTTATAAAAAACCCCCTAGGTTTGCTAATTTAACTAAACACCCCAATATATTAAAAAAAAAAAATGACAAAAACACCTCCACCGCCCTCAGTACCAA